GCTGCGGGGCAGGGAGAGGCAGAGATCCGGAGCGGAGCGCCAGGCGCAGGAGGAGGCGAGTTGCCCGGAGCCCCGTGCAAAGAGGGGGTCGCAGAAGCCGCGGGCCCCAGCGGGCTGGGGGCAGCGAGGGGGCTGGACAGCGGCGCCCCGGCTCCACGGGCGGCGGGCGCTGGTCACCCAGCCCGAGCCCTGGTGCATCGCGCAGAGCCACCCCCCTGCCCAGCCTCGCCGCCGGCCGTCCCCGCAGGGCTGCGGGAGAGGGACAGCTGCGCGCCGGGGCTCAGCGGCGATCCAGGGAGGCACCATGCGTTGCCCGCTCCTGCTGCTCGTCCTGCTCTGCTGCAGGGGTAAGTGCCAGTCTCCTTCCCTGCCCCTTCCCGGGGGGGTAGCTGTGCCGGCCCCGCTGGTGGATGGGTACCCCCATCAGCAGCCTTCCCCTCTCCCTCCGCCGGGTGGGGGACAGGAGACCGGCTCTGGGACGAGAGGGGGTTTTTTCCTGCTGCCCGTCCCGCGCACCTTTGCCCAGGTTGCCAGCCACGGGGCTAACTGGATGGGTGGAGCCCCCCCCGAGGCACCAGACTGAGACCCAACAACTCGTTGCATGTTCGCCACCGAAGGGTAACTGCTGACGCACGCCGGAGCTGAACCAACAACCTAGTGGTGAAAGGGGTCTCGCATCACATTGGGAGAGCCTCTGAACCATCCAGCTTCCTCGGGCAGAGATGGGCTAGCGTATGTTGCAGTTGATCATAGCAGCCCCAAGCGGTTAGGAAGCATTGGCTCAGGGCAGTCCGTGCTGAGTGATGGGCAGGGCAGAGTAAAGCCCAGGCTGAGGGCAGCTTTGATCCTCTTCCAGGGGACCAAAGCAAGTGGAAAGTTAGCAACAAGGAGAAGATGTTTCTCTCTCGCCCCGTGGCTCTCCTGAACCCGGGGAATGTGTTGGCGTGTGCCGCACGTCCAGCGGACGCTCCTGGTTTTGCTGCGTTTGAAGTGGAAATGGCCCAGCCAGACAAAAGGATGAACACAGGTTACCCTGTCTGCATAGTAATACCTTGCGTCTATATAGTGCTCTTCGTCCCAGAGGAGTCCAAAGCACTTTAGGCTGTTACTCAGTAATTGTTAACGGAATCAATGTACCCCATCCAGTTCTTACCCCAGGAATCAATTTACCCCAGGCTGAAATGCAGGCGTCTCCAGGGTGGAATGGATTAGCTGTTTAACAGCTCACCCAGCAGCTTAGAGCAGGAAATAAAGAACCCTGCTTCTGATTTGGATCTTACACCAGTTGCATGCTGGTATCACTCCACTCACTTGGCTGGAGTTATTATTTTTTACTTATATTACAGAATGCCTGTACACCCCAAACAACACCAGGGCCCACCTGGGTCAGGCCCTGTATAAACACAGCCCTCATCTACACTACAAACTTATGTCGGTGTAACTACTTTGCTCAAGGGTGTGGAAAATCCACACCCCTGAGTGACGCAGTTATACCGACTGAACTCCCGGTGTAGACAGCGCTATGTAGACAGGAAGGCTTTTCCCATCGGCACAGCTACTGCCTCTCCGGGAGGTGGAGTACCTTCATGAAGCGCTACAGCGGCACCGGCTGCAGCCCTGTAAGTGTAGACAAGCCCTAAGAGACAGTCCCTGCCCTGCAGAGCTTACAATGTAAATGGACAAGACTGATAAAAGGTAGGAGGGGAAACAGGAAAAGCATCTGACCAGAGGTCACAGCAAATTGGTGGCGGTGCCAGGAATAGAACTCCTGATTCCCCATGCAGTGCCCTAGCTATCGCGCCTCAGTTTGCTTACCTTGACTTACACTGGTGTGAGTGTAATTGGAATCAGGACCCCGTACAAGGGAATTTGATGAGAGGAAGTAATAATCCAGACTTGGATTCATCCAGGACTTTGGGTTTAACACCCATACTCTTGTGAAAACTGCCGTAGGATCTTTAATGGGCCCCATGCCACCAAGACCTCAGTTGTGTGTCTCATCTGAAAGGTGTGTTTAAAATGCACTCCCAGCATGAACCATTTTTAAAGAAAAATAGTCGGAAAGGGAATTCCTCCCTTTGTTGTACACGGGAGGAAGGGCGAGGACAGCGAAGGAGTGGAATGTTTCTTGACATTGAGAGGGAGAAAGGATGGACAAAAGTTGGTGAAGTCCTGCGCTAGAGGAGGTCTTGCAGTGACCTCTCTGCCCATCTGACGGCTTGCCCTCACTGCTCAAAGCTGCGTTTTTTTACCTTGTGGTAACTATCCTGAGTTAAAAGCACAGTGAAGGTCTGCCCCAGGCAGAGGTGTGCGGTTGAGCTCAGCAAGTTTAATCGTCCACTAAAACTAAAGTGCCTTGTCTTCATTGTGTTTTTACCGCAGGATAGCTCCTGCGCTGTAGTTAACCCCCCGGTAAAGAAAGCACCACTTTTTTAGCAGTGAAGACAAGCCCTGAGTCAACAAGTGCAGGGACGTCAGGCTGTTATGAACGCGGATAGAGGCGCTGAAAAAATGATTTCTCTTGTTGTTTAACATGAGAAGATTAGGCCAAACGCTGATCTCCGTGATGCTGGGGTAAATCAGGAGTAACCGCACTGAAGTCAGTGCAGCCACTTGCACGTTACAACAGGCAGAACCTGGCCCAGTAACGGCTCGGAAGATTTTTTTTTCAGGGGTTTGAGTCAAATCCACTTTGAGTTGTATGAAGTGGGGTTGAGGGCTGTGCTGTGGGGTGATGGTGGTGAGGGGAGGCGTTCTGATGGCTCTGTTATATTAGCTGTCAAGTGATCCTGCTGGGCTCCTCTTGGAACTCATCCAGTTCTGCCGAACAGCATCTCCTTCTATAAGCTACTGCTGTTATGGTTTGAAATAAGTCAACTGCAGATACTTTTTTACTTTCCTTTGTGTAGAAAGGCTGGATGACTCTTTTTTTAAGGGCCAGATTGGGCCTCCCTTATGTTGACTTCAGCTTGCCCAGGGATTACACCGTTTTGTGAGCCGTACTTAACTCCATGAGCAGAACCCGTTCTAATCAATGGGTACACTCAAGGAGCAAGGACCCACAAGTGTCAGGAATGGTGGCCAACCCTGTTCTTTTCCTAAAGGAGAAAAAAATTGTGTGTGTGGGCGGGGGTTGGGGGGTGTTAATTAAAATGTGCAGATTATTTTAAAGAACAAAAATAACTGGAAACAACAAAAAGAACAGGAGTACTTGTGGCACCTTAGAGACTAACAAATTTATTAGCGCATAAGCTTTCGTGGACTACAGCCCACTTCATTGCCCTTTGCCTGACTGCTTGTGTAGCCAGGTATAGCGTTCACAAGGGTTGTGAAATGCTATCACCTGTGCACACGAGTGGAGAGTTCTGGTTTGGTAGTGTTCTACCCTGGCTTCGCACAGGTGTAAATAAAGGATAGCACAGTGCGCAAGGCGGCTCAGCATCAGGACTATGGTGTTGCGGTTTTAAAAACGCAGCAATTTTCTGCTAAGGCTATTTACTGTGTAATCTGGGCCTGATTCTGAGCTCACACCAGTGTGATCCACTGGCTTCAATGGAGCTACCCTGATTTACACTGGGGTAGGTCAGATCAGAATCCGGCTGGCACAGCATACACGTGAAGATGGTCTTAAGCACAATTGCCTCAAATTCAGACAATCTGTTGAGAAAGGCCCAAAGATGCTTTTTCAGCATGTTCACGGGACACTTCTTAGATTTTTAAATTCCATTACAGGATACAGGGGGTGGTGTTGACTTGGGAGGAGAAATTTGACCCCTTTACCTTACGGGTGGATAAAAAGAATCAAAGTCTCAAATAATCCTTAAATGCAAATGGCAGGACTGGATTTTCCCTACAGGCCTGCTGTTCTCCTAATCTAAAGCCATCACAGTCCCTGTCTCTAAAACACCCCTCTTCAGTCCCAGAGCTACAACAGTGCCAAAGAAGCCGAAGGTTGGTTCGATCTAAGGGTCTGTGTGTGAACTGCAGAAACTTTGAGTGATCTCGCTTTTCATTCCATTATTCATGATACTGCGTTCTAGGAAGGGGTAGCAGGCCGTCTGGGTTCTACTCCTGATGCTGGGAGGGGATTGTGGTCAAAACAGGAGGGTCGCCAGGGTGGGGCTACACTAGGAACAAGGGTTTTGTTTTTTTTAACACGTTGGCAGACGTGTGTTAACTAACACATTACATTGTCATGTGAACAAGACAGGTTGTGGTTGTAACCTGCGTTAGGAGATGGAGTTGGGACTCTGGCAGTCTATCCCCAGTGTAACCTTCGGCAAGTTACTGAAATTGCGCTGTGCCACTGATTCCCCAAGTAGTGAAATGGATACAGTAATGGTACACCCTCTCCCCCGGGCTGTTTGGAGGCTTAATTAATGAACTGTTTGCAATGCACCCGGACATCCTTGGATGAAAGGACCTGTAGCGGTGCGACGACATAGTTTATTTTAATTCCGGAGGGTTTCTTTGAAGTATGATTATGGTTATTATTATTATTCATGCCGGTGGCTGAAGTGATGCTGCAGGAGTTTTCTAAACACTGTACAAGAGCCTGGCACCTTGTTTGAAGCTCTCTGAAGCTTTGGGGCTCTAGCCCCTGCGTTTGTGACATACGCCCTGTGGGGCTTGTGTGCATGGGGTTTGTGGCAGGTATATGAGATTAATTAGGGTCAGTGAGATCTCTTAAGCCATGGAATAGTTTCCCCATCACTTGTGACATTAAAACCATAGGAGCTTGCAGTCAAGAGAGAGATTCCCCCACCACCCCCAAAGACCGGGTGGGGTGAGACCCACCCAACCTGGGAAATCCTGCAGATCTTGAGACCTGCAGAAGGAGACTTGGTGCTGGTTAGCTACTTCCCAGGCGTACCCCCTTCTCCTATGACAGTGGTGCTTCTTTGAGAGCCGATCCACTGTATGTACGTGGAGGAGATGGGAGTGTATTGGCAGATGGGGACAGCACAGAAGATAGGCCTGAACCCCATCACCATTATCTACAGAGGGGAGATCCCTGTGGGTATGAAGGGAGATGAGTGTGGGGAGAATGGCTTTTTCCCCTCCTCTCTGCACACACGCCTGAGAGCCCGACTGATTTGGGTCAGAGGAGCGTCTGCAGGATCGGGAAGAAGGAGGCTGCTTGCAGTGGACCCGCTGGCTGGATTCGGATGGGTTTGCCCCGCTCTGACGTGAG